CCTAGAAGGAAGACAATCAGCAAGGGACAATGCTAAAACGGGTTTACATATAGCAGCCCACTGTCTACCATTTCTGCACCATTTTCTCCCTTATTCATTAAAGGCAAAGAAGACCTACACCAACCATTTGAATGCACAGAGAAATCATGACAAAGATTGTATTTGATTGGTGTCCTCCAATGTCTGGAGAAGTCCATTTTATGATTACAGCCTTTAAAACTCTTTATGACTATTAGAAAGTCACAGATGAATTTCCTTGAAGTAATCACGTGAAACGAGAGAAATTACAGGACCTCGTTGAAGAAGGAAAATAACACAGAATACAAGAAACTTCATGGACTGTTTTCCATGAGAAATTTAGTGGACTGTTTTGTTCTAGAAGGACTATTGTCTGATTCCACAGGATAATACTTATGGACAGTGTATACTACGTGCAAAAAGTATACTGCATATTGAGGAATTGTTGGATTATACTTTGAATTTTTGTAACTGGGGGATCCTGATTGATTATTGACCTTATGAATTGATGGAATTTATATATAACAGATACACATAGAACAAAATAGACAGCAAAAAGAGCATTTAAAGTTTCATAATAAATATATTTTATTAAAAGGAATATAGAATATAGTTACTAGGGAGCCAAATACAGGATTTCTCATTGAACTTTTTGCTTGCCAACATAGCTGTGGTGGAAATGTAAATATGGAGGGGGAGAATGCCCATTGAAACTCTACAACAGTGGCCAAGGGGTCATCTATCTAGCAGCTGTGGAATTATCAACAAATGCATTATTTTACTTGTGTAGAGTTCCTAACACTACTGCTGCAAGAAAGATGACAGTAATATTTTCCGAAAGGGTTAATTTCTGGTCCATAGTTTAACAGAGTTTAAGGCAGGGATGACCAACAACTCACCCAGGAAACTAAGTACAATTGTTTCAGGTTAAGCCTGCAGCCCTATGAACACTTACATTGAATCAAGTTCCTCTGAACTCAACAGAACATGCTTCCCAAGTAAATGTGCACAGGATGGGGCTGTTAGGCTGCACACCTGCACTCAATAATGCCAGTGGATCTGTTCTTAAGTAATGTGGTCAGGATAAAGCTGTGTTTACAAGTTACAGTGAATTCATGTACAACTCATGTACAATGCACACTTGACGTTTCTATGTACATGTATTGAGTAATTCTCATGTTATAGTCAATGCACATACAGCTGAGTGTGTGACTGGAAGTGCACATTTATCTAGGTACTGGTCCCACTTCACTTATCAAGTGAACGTACACTGGCTTTTTCTTACAAACACATTTATGCGTATACATGCATGATGCATATGCATTCACTGTAACATGAGAACAAGGCTATAGTTAGGGATGCAGTCCTCAAAATTACAGCTCATTTCCATACTACAGAGATCAGTTTCCCCGTAAAAAATGGATGCTTTGGAGTGCAGACTCTGTAGCATTGTACCCCTCACTGAGGTCCCCCTCCTCCCCAGAATCCACTCCCAAATCTCCAGGATTTTCCCAACCAGGATCTGGCAACCCTAGCTATAATGCTGCTACCAAAAAATGACATGTTAGAGTTCCCTAAGTTAACAATGTGTTATATGAAATACTACTTAAAATTTGTTTATTCTGCATCTAGTGACAATTTTGTTGCATGACCAAGTTATTGTATTATATTACCTCTTTTCTAAAACTATTATATACTTTTTGATACGGAACACCAAATGTGGCTGCATCACAGATTGTCCTTAAAAGCATTACAATACCATTCCATTGTTTAATTCTTTTCCTAATAATTTCTGACAGAGTTCGTCTTTTCATTCCCTCCACACACTGAGCCAACGCTGCCACTTAAGCATCCATCCTAAAACCTATTTCCAGGTTAGTTAGTGAATCTGAACCCCCATCAATATATATAGGCAAAGTAAACCCAGATGCCAACTTTGCTGCCACATATGCCCAAACAACTCGATCACTGGACCTAACAACATCAACTACGCCATCTCAGGCTCATTCACTCGCTCATCTTCTTACACTGTATATGCCATTAAATGCCAACAATGTCCTTCTATTCTCTACACAGGGCAAACAGGTCAAACCCTACACCAAAGCATAAATGGACATAAATCTGACATCAAGACTAAGAAACCTATGAGAACAGTTCAGCCTTTCAGGACATTCAGTGGGTGACCTTAGTGTAACTGTTTTATTACAAACAAACTTCAAAAACAGACCGGAAGGGGAAATTGCTGAATTACAAGTTATTACAACACCCCAGGATTTAACAAGGATATTAGTTTCTTATCTCACTACATATGCTAATCTCATTCCGTTCTTACATCTATATTCTCACCAAGAAGGGCTTATACATCATCTTTATTCTATTGTATTTCTTATTTGGAATAGTAGCTTGGAATAGTGATTGTAATGTACTGTAATAGTAGAATGTAATGTAATTTGGAATGGTAGACTGGAATAAATTTCTCTGTTCTGGTGACAGAGGAGACATAACACTGCACAACCAATCACCCCACCTTAAAGGATGCTGTTAGTTACCGCCATGATTGAGAGGAGATGGATGGAGCGTAACAACAGGGTCTCAGTTAATTACTCTCAGCATCCTACAATTAAGAAGGGTACATTTACACATCAATCTCCAATTTTGTTATATTTATTTCCTTCACTATGTTTTCCTTCAGAATTAAATCCAAACAAATGGTGACCATATAAACTAAGCTTGTTATTCCTGTTTGGTCCATGCATCTGTTAAACATCACTATGTTGTCTGCTAATTTGCTGCTTACCCTTTACCTATATGTATGGACTGGGAACTTCCATTTCACTGTATCTGAAGAAGTGTGTGTGCACACGAAAGCTTATACCTTGAATAAAACTTTGTTGGTCTTAAAGGTGCCACTGGACTCAAATTTTGTTCTGTTGCTTCAGACCAACACAGCTACCCACCTGAATCTATTTACCACTTTATTTAATTTATACCCCGCCCTATCCCAAGAGTGGGCTCAGGGAGGCTTACAGCATAAAATCCATATTATTATATTTACCTGGCCAAGTATTAGGAGAAACTGGAGATCCACACATCAGATCCCTCATCTCCCTAATTTTTAATCACTACCTTCTGCAGGAAGGAAGGAACCGAATACGGACAATGGACTAATGTTGGGGGTTTTTCCCCCCAAATTTGCTCCTGCACTGCTTGGCTCAATGTAAACTGCGCCCTGACCAAGCTTCTATTTGCCTGGAGTAGCTTGAAGGAGAGAGGGAAGAGAGAATTTTCATCTTGAAAGTAGTGGGAGAGGAGGGAGAAAATCCAAACCCAATCCCCCCCCCCCCCCCCCCCAGAAATGCCTAGCAACCAACAAAATACAAGCTGAGGCTGCGGCAGTGTTCCCCTCTAAGCTGAGTTAGTGGCTCCGGTCACAGATCTCCAACATGCCATCTTACAGGATTCACACACTGCTGAACGTTGAATGCTATTCTGTGGCACATTTACCCACTGTGGAGAGAGCCCTCTGAAGTTCTTCAGATTTCATCATCCCAAATACACTTGGAGCACCCTTAAAAATTGCTACCTCAGCCTTCACTCCAGATCTTTTATGAAAGACACAGAACACGGGTTCCAAAACAGATTCCACTGTTCAATTCTGCCCACTGTGAAAATGGATTTAAGTAGCCCCCCAAAAAAGGCCCTGGATTTTTAACACATTAAGGTCAGTGTTCATTTCTTATATTGCAGAATGCACATGATTTGCACTTTCCTCATTGCAAATTCCCCTTCCCCGCTGGCTCCAGCTTATTTTGCACCCTAGGCGAGGATCCCTTCTGCCCCCCCCCCTGCGCCCACCAATTTTCAAAAATAAATGCATTTTAGGAAGAATGAAAAACACAAATAATCAAGAAACCCCCAGAGTACGGGGCTGGGTGCAGTTTGGTGCCCCTAAGGGCGTCCCACTCTAGGCGATCGCCTAGTTTGCCTAGTGAGTGAGCCGGCCCTGCCGCCACATGAACTTTTTTAGAAGTTCAGAATGCAGTATACCCAAGCAAAGCCCATTTCATACAGGAGCCCACACTGAGCCACAGATAAAAAGAAACCAGAAAAACTCCAACCTTAGGCACAAACCCTAGTGTATATAACCAAACTGTCTAAGAGGTGAGACAATAATGCACCTACAACAGCCCTTAGTCTTTCCACAGCTCTCCAGAGTACTTAAAGCAATTACTTGTGTTTACTCCTCCACGACTCCCCCCACCCTCCCCCCCCCAAATTGGTCTGTTATTCCACCACTTCTTAGCATTTGCCTCTCCTTATTCCTCTCTGCTAGGGGGCTATCAAAGCCACATTCCCCCCCCAAAAAAAAAAAAAACCTGAAGAGAAAAAAAAAAACCTGCAGAGATGCGCCTTCCCACCCTAAAAACCCGACAGGAATGGTAAAGCACTTCGTACGCAGAAGAGTGACGCCAGCCAAATAAGCAGCAGAGTTAAAACAAAGAGGGTCGTCCCTCCTCGGCCTCCTCTCACGTTTCCCCATGCATTCTGCACAAATATTACAATAAAAGCCAGGACAGGCCTCTCCACCCCCAATCCTCCCGTTCAGGGCCCAGCATTTCCCTCCCTCTTCAGCCTCTCTCGGCCAAGAAGCCACCAGTCTGTCCCCCGCCCCGTCTCTTCCTCCCCCTGGACTTGTTGAGAGAGGGGCGACGCTGCCTTCATTGGAGCCCTCAGCTCTTGGCTGGGAGTCGGGCTGTGGGAACAGGCCGCCTCCCCCAAAGTCAGCGTGAGGCAGATTCAAACTGGAAGAGAGAGCCAGAGAGAGAGAGAAAGCCCACCCTTCTGCACTCTTCCCCCCTCCGTCTCCTTCCCGCCCCGCCACCGTACAGGGACCATTCCTCTCTCACGCCGCCCCACAAATTTGTGGGCGAAGCGACCCCCCTCCGGGACCCCCTCGCGGAGCGGCCCGGCTCGTCACTCACCCGCTGGGCCCGGAATCTTCCCTCCCGCCGCGCTCTTCACCACCTCGCCGCCGCCATGTTAGGATCTGGTGCAGCACGGACTGCGTCAGTGGAGGGAGGGGAGGAAGCGGGAAACCCGAAGCGGCGAGTGGTTGCCGAAGAAGGAGGGATGGCTGGGAGGGAGGGAAGGATGGATTGGGGGGCTCGGCGGCTGGGAGACGACCCGCGGAGCCCCAAGTCTCAGGCAGCAAATGGCTTGGCCTCACTGTAAAGGGAAGGAGCTCAGCACTGGGCCGCTTTCCCGCCCGCCTCTTCCACGGAGGAGGACCCAGATCCTGCCTCAGCCTGGCCCCCGCGCCTGGGAACGGCACAAAAATCACACACACAAATCACACACACACACACCCTCCCCGGGGCCCCGCCAATATCCCTCCGCAAAAATAAGGGTTTCGCTCGTTCTCCACGGTGTATACTTCCCGAGGGAGCAAGGATTAAAGTTTGTATTCATTTGCTCCCCTTACACATCATTGAACTATGGCAGTTGAGCAGAAGTAGGATATCATTGGGGGGGGGGGGGTTGGGGTGGGGGGTGAGGTTGGGAGAAGGCAATTTTTTGCGTATGTTTTCACAGATGCAAGTTGACGCGTTTATTTAACTAGAAGTACATCTCGCCTTTCTGTTGTGAACATAAAACCATTTACGTGGTGGGTGTACTGCCACCCCCCCTATATCCTCTGGTGGTACTGCTCCAACGCACCTGAAGAAGGGAGCTCTGGCTCACGAAAGTTTGTGCCGGAATAAATGTGAGGTTCCAGGGGCCTCGTGTGTTAAATGATGAGTTAAATAAAGGGACGTACTAAAACTAGGGACAGAGATTGTCCATAGGGAATACATGAGTGCCCATAGAGAATAATGGAGAGTAGGCTTGCCCAGAGAGGATAGGGCAGTACCCA